TTATAACGCCCTCGAAGGTCAATGAAGCAAAGGCTTTTTGGCCCCCTGTATATGGGTACACATATGCAGCCGTATCTTCGGTAGCGGTGATTGGCAAGATGCGTACGGGAAACTCGTCCGAAATCGATTTTCAAGTCACTGAGAACGGAGGCTTTTTCTTCGCCGGATTTTGACCGTTTCACTCCGTTCTTTCGCCATTTCCCCACTACATAGCGCCCTACTAGCATTTTAGGCCGAGTGGGAAACCATCGTGCCAACTGCCTTTAACAGAGGGTTTCGCCTACACTATATCACTCCGAAGCCCACTGAACTTCGTCTTCCACGCCGTGGAACGAACGCGCTCGGATTGTTCTTACAGCAATTCTCAGTGTTGTTATAATAATGTAATTACGAAAAATTCGTCTCGAAACTTGACTCTATCTTGAGGTATCTACTTCACAATTCCAAGCTTAGTTCGTAACGGGCCGTCTGAAGCCTTCCTTTCCTTTCTTGTCAACAGGATTCCTACATTACCTTCTCCTCAACACAGCTGTAACTTACAGAAAGTCTCCTGACAGAGACGCTTTTCCTCGAATCGTTAATCAATTTATATACATTTTATTTACAAAACGCATTTTTCGTCCTAAGAGTTGTCGATGGTGGTGTTGCTATCTTCTTTCTCATGAATATGCCAAGAACAAACAGTCTAAAATCTTTGACAAAATAGAGCGTTATCAGAGGATTGATGACTGGACACCATGAGAAAAGGAATGGGAAATAATTTGACACTTCTCCAGTTCTGGCATCGAACAGTGGTGCGAGCACTGAGATATAGAAGGGTAGATGCAGCAGGAGAAGCGGTGAAGCTGCCTGAATTTGACAACATTTTGCGGATAAAATCACTAAACTGTGAAGTGTAAATTTATTCCAATTAAATCTACCTCATTAGAAAGTCATGACCTACATCCGTGATTCACAAAGATAATAGGCACACACCGTTCTAGGTGAGGATTCGTATGCGCGCACTAAATAGGTCTACCTTATATTAATATCTACGCTCCACTGAGGAACGATGTTACTTCCGTAATGTTCATCATGAATGTCAAGGGTTATCGAGACAGAAACATTGGCGGTTGCTCAGTTCGATATACGGGAGGGGGGGGGCGGAGGCAATAAAAAAAAGTCACTTCGATTGAGTGACTTCCGAGGCGTTATAAGTTACACTTTATCA